AACTAGCTCTTTCTTACAAAAGACAATCTCAGTCCACACAGAAGTCAGAATTTCTAATTTTTATGCAGGCACCTCGTTAGCCCATACTTAAAACATTGTAAAGATAGGTAAAAAATAAAACATTCTACCAGGAGGCAGGCACAGTTCTCTAGACCAGTAGCTCTGTATTTCAATATCAATCATATTTATCTTCCTACCTCCTAACATTTTACATGTGTGCAATGCCACTTCTCGTCTGCTCTGCACGTTTGCAGAAATAGTATTTGTGTAAAAATGAGAATTTTTAGATTTTGTCTCAACCAGATAGGGGGAAGGGAAGTAATATATAATAATCCTTTTCTGATGAGTTTACTCATTCTGATTTCAAGATAAATGGAGACCAGATAAATGGTTTATTCATGCTGACACCATGCAGCATTTGAATTCAATGAAATGATATTCCTAGATTGTGCTGGCCTCTGTCGGGCTGCACAAGATGCTACACTTGAAAACAACTTTCTCAAGGTTTCTTGTTACCCTGCTTGCATAATTGGCCAAGATAAAAGACCCCAACCTGCACTTTCTCTAGTTATTAAGATAAATATTTTATTTTATTGGTGCAAGAAAAGTAATAGCATTTAGTAATATCTGCATTGACTAGTTTCTAAAAACAAAACTTTGTATTAAAAGGCTGTCTAATCTTAAAAAAAAATACAGAAAGATAAACCACTGTAAACCCAAGTGGAAATCTGGACTCTCAATATTCCACTGCACATTCCCTACTAATTCCCAGGTCGCTGTATGATGCTGCCCTGTGGCTAGGGTTTCTAATGAACTTTTTTCATACAAGCTGTTCTCTGGCAGATACATAATTTCTAAGTAATTTTTTCCTGAAAAGTTGGCACGAGCTCCTACACAGAGAGAGAAAAATCGTTATGAAGATGTGGCTTCTTTTCCAGGGCTGATTTCTACCTTAAGGCACAAGGCTCTTTTTTCAAAATAGAAGATTCTTACTTGTTAATGTCTTGCCCAGAAGGAAGTTTCTCTCTACCGTTTCCTTGCTGAGCTTTGAAATCAAAGAGGGTAACTTTGTCCATTTCCACATCGTAGAAACAGATCTTGGAATCAACGTTCCCATCCACCTACAGAAAGGGAAAAATCACAAATCACTGAACCCTGCAGTTAACAAGAAAAAAGGTAAAGTTCACATGGTATGTTCTTCTCATTTGCTCCATGCTGTCATAGTTGCATGCACTGGTAACCGCACAGGAACATTGTTAGGAAGAAGTGCCAGAAAATGTCATACTGCTTTTCTGTTTTAACAAGTTAGTCTTTGGCTTCTTGGTAATACTATAAAATAGCATTTGTGCTAATCTGACCTCTCCTTTTCCAAGTTGTTCTTCTCATGGGATGTACAAAACAGCTTAGTTCTAGCATTTAGCTACATGCTTGGACTTGAAATTTCAAGCGCCACTGCAATGGAATTGTAGGAAAAGGTTCAATTGTTTCTGAGAAGGTAATGCTGTGTTTTCAGAAACCTGCCTGCACAGCAGCAGCCCGGCAGCTGCTAGCCAGGCTCCGGGCAGCCTCACCTTGTTCACGAGGATGCTGACTTGGCTGCCGTTAGCGTTGCACTTGACAGAGGCAAGGCCTCCCAGGCCAGGAAACAGCTCGCAGAAATCCTTGCTCTGGCAGTGCACTTTTGCCTCTCTGTGAAAAGAAATAAACTTAATTCATTTGGCGGCATTAAAGTGGCAGCACTCAGGAACATTTTTTATATTACAAGAAAGACTTAGAAAGTCTTCTTTTTATATCTACCTTCTGCCCCAGAGTAGTTTCCTCTCCAGAGGATTGCTCCTACCTGACTTACTTTCATGAAGAGGTTAATGGGACACTTTTCTGAATGAAACACAAAGAATAAACTCAAGTACCCCCACAGAATTCCATCAACAGAGCTACACAACAGGAATATCCTGCCAGAATTTTGAATTTGCAGTGCCTAAGTTGTTTTCCTCTGCCAGGAATTGAGCAGATAGCCTGTCCCCTAAGGACTGTGAGTGGGGATGAATGTGGACCAGAAGTAAAGTCACCGGCACAGGGAGGATATTGATATCATCATACTGGTTAGTTCTGATAGTTCACAATTTTAAAAGATTGCATCACTCACACACTTGCCCCCTTTTTTTTTCCTATCTCAAAACAAAAGTTCTACTTCTGTAGCTACAAAACACTATTTAGGACAAAAGGGAAAAGTCTTGTGAATCAATAAAGGTGACAGACAAAAATGACAGTATTTTAAATCCGTAATATGGATTTAATGTTGACATATGACATTATAGTCATCATTTGGGAGGGAGGATTTTCATAACCGGCCATGGAAACGTTAACCTAGCAAGCAGGAACTAAGCTCATTTCTTTCACTGTTAAATATTGCATCGAGTGTGATCTTTATGTTAGCTACAAACCGTCCAATCCACCACATTCAAATTGTGCCCTGTGTTATATTTAGGCAATCTCACCACAGCTAGTGACCATCCCAGGGGGTAGAGCTAGGGTAGCTACTCATGGCAGTGCATAAAACAGGAGAGTACATAAAGGACAAACTATTTTACTCTTTTCTTCCAAATTTTAAAATGTGCGTTGGTCCCCAGTAGATACATTCCTGAAAGTCGTGTCAGGATTTTATCTTTTTTCATGCTAAAGCTGCTTGTCAGCATGGAAGCACACAATATAATTTGAACATTCCAAACTTATAACTTAGGTTAAACAAGGCCTTAATCTCAGAAGAGGTGAAACAAATGAAAAAATGAGTTGGATCTCACATCTTGTCATAAATCCACAAACCTGGAGAGAGTGATGTTAGGAGTAGTGGACACTATTCTTCTTGTTTTGGTTATCAGCCAGAACATGTGACATCCTGGCCTTGATCTTCCTAAACTTTTCCACTTACTCTCAAATACACATAAACATCTCCCACAAAATATGTATTTTTAATTATTGCTATTACAGTGCTTTTTCCACGGTTTGTCTAGTAGTACAGTGGCTCTTCCCTTGCTTTAGAAAAAGGCCATCAACTTGCACACGGTGCATGTACTGTTTTGAGATTGAAAGCAGCTATCACTTTTCATCAGAACAAAACAACTAGAAGTTCCCTCCTGACTACAAAAATAAATAAATAAATAAAAAGCCCTCAAAGGTTTTCTGAAGCCTGATTAATACCTGCGAGAGAGATCAAAGATTTTGAAGTGAGCAGAGTCAGTTCCCACAGCGAGGAAATTGCCACAGACATCCAGGAGGCAGGGATTGCCCTCAGCTTCGGAGAACACCAGCAGCTGTTTGACTGTGCCCTGAGGGGACAGGCAGAACATTAACTCTGTGCATTCAGGCTCTAAGGAAGAGGAATTTATTTTGTCAGTAAGATAACTAACTGCTGGACTTGTTAGCCAAATCATTATCAGCAAAATGAGAGAAACTAGACACCCAAACTCACAAACCACCTCACACTGGGTTTCCACAAATGCAATCTGCACTTCAGGTCCTATTCCTCAATTTACAGCCTCCAAAAATGTTAAGTTTAGAAGTACCCTTCTGCAAAGATGGGCTCAGTAATAATACAACTTCTTCTGGGTAAAATGGACGTATAAATAAGAGGCCCTACGGCTCTATTAATGCACTACCGGGAAAATAAATACATAAAATCATTCCTTAAATAAAATATTTCTGAAAAAAATATTTCTTAAATAAAATTATCTATCACAGAACTCTACACAGATTTCTCTTTACTTCTCATGGATTAACTAAGGTTGCAATGTTTAAACAAAAGACCTGGCAGGTCTGGTTCACTTGTAACAGAACTTCTACGTGGTGTTATCATTACCTTATAAAAATACTGTGTATATTCATATTCCTGTTAATAAGATATACATTCAGTATGCGTGCATTTTGATCATCTTATAAAGTTTGGTCCTTACAGGACTCTATTTTCTATTATAAATATTTACAAGTTAGATTATAGCAATGTTTAAGTATGACAGACATTTTAAAGAACAGAAAGTGACAAAGACTTTTCAGCTGAAATCATCAGCTGATTTTGTGACAAAGGTAGAGTCAGTAGATTTACCTCCATTTAACTTTCAAGTTACAAGTGCAGCACACCTAAACTTTGCAAACAGTAAAGCATATCAGCCAGTCTCAGCTTTGGGCCCCTGTTTTTAGGTAACGACACTCTCAAACAACCATTATGGCTGTCACCTAGAAGAACATGCTCCTTTTGCCTATGTCTGCTCAGCTAGGTCCACAGCGAGAATCCTGCCAGAGCTAGGACACCCTGAGGGGGATTACTCCTCTGCTCCAAAAGCTTCATGAGCTCTTACCTGCCAGGTGCGGACCTGGACCCGATTGGGCTCAACCGTGTACAGATTTTCTTCATGCGCACACAAAACTGGAGAGTCGCAAAGGAAAGAGCCTGGAACAGTCACAATAAAAGCACCATTACAATAAAAACATGCAAAAAGGAAGCAACTGTTGTGATTTACTTGAAACGGTGGAGACTTCTCCATACAACATATTTATGTAAGAACACAATATTCAAGATCTGAGAACACTTTTTAAGTCTAGACTTGACACTTAGGCTGTGTGGAAGAGCTCGGTTTTGTCAAGGCACATCGCACAACTTGGTGCCTTAGAAACTTTATGAATGAGGCAGACATTTTTTGGCCACCTCCAGCATTGGGCTGAAGCTGAACAGAAGTTACATGGATATATATTTTAATTTTATGCCTACAAATGCACTTCCTGAAGTCAACCTGTTTAATTCTATTCTAGTACATTTAGTGAATAAAGCACAGACCTAGGAGACAGTATCTGAGCTCTGGTTTTTTAGATGACTTGTTTAACTACTAACATTTTTATACCTCAGTCTTTCTCTTCTGCGAAATGGCAATATTAAATCTAACTACTATTCATAGGTGCAAAGTGAAAAATATTATTAGCATACTCTCTTCCCTAACATGATTGAAGTAAACATTTAAGTTAACATTTTAACACTCTTCATAGTCCACTCACCGCTCTGAAGTCTTACCTGCATTTCTTAAGGTAACACCCGAGCACTCAAAGACAGAAACTTGCTTCCCATTCCAGAATACTACAACATCCTAAAGCAATCAAAAAAGCACAAGTTAATCTTTTTTTTTTTTTTTTTTTTTCAGGGGGGGGCATATTTGTGTATGTATATACAGGACCACCCACAGCTGGGCTGGGAAGTTACCTTAGTAGTGTAGACTCCATTCACGTTCATATCGACACGAAGACTCTGCGTGGCTCCTGTGCTGAAGAAGGTCACATTAAACAGGTTGGGAGACACCTGAACCACAGCCACTTGCTGGTTAAAATGAGAGGACATGGCCTGCTCGCTGAGGATCACCACCGAGCTGATGTTGTTCACGGCCAGAAGGTTTCTCCTAGAGCCCCACTGCAAACCATGCAAGGAGACAGAAAAAGAAAAAGCAGCAGTTTCCTCTAAGACCTTAAGCTTTCATAGCTATGTCCCAAAGCAAAGAAGCAGGCTTAGGGCAGACGAACTGCATATATATACATATATATATATGGCACAAAGTCCTACTGTCCAAATAAAACCACAGCCAAATGGCTAAACTGCTACAGACTGGAAATATTTTTCTTTCCTAAAATGTTATTCTACCACCTTATGTCTAATACTGTGAGAAAAAAATCACATAAGCCAAAGCATTAACAACACTTTAATTTGTAAAAGCAAGCTGCACACACCATTTCTTATTCATTTACCTTAATCTTTTCTGCAACTTTGGGAGTCCTTTTGATCAACAATGTAGTTCAAACTCTCTAGCAGATTACTGATCACTGTATTTGGAAATATTTTATTCAATGGTATCTCTTGAGAAATAATTTGCATGGTTCACTGTTTGTTTTTTAAAACATCAATTACTTGTAACTAACAGCTGCTAGAGTACTACTCCACTGCCCGGGACGCAAGCTAGAGCGCAAATCCCAACCACTTCTCCTCAGAAGCCCCTATGCCAGGTTGAAAAAAAAAAAAAAAAAAAAAAGATCAGCTTGGCAAGGAGCCCAATGAAGATACTGCCACTCTGATTTCACAACAGCGGGCAGCTGTCCCTAGATTCCCATGGAAGCACAGAAATTACCTAAAGATCCCATGTGAAAATCATTTACAGAACATTTTTGACTATAAAGATTAACACTACAAATCAAACAAACAAATCAGAGCATGCATAATTAAAGTTATCTTTATAAAATGAGACACAAATGCAGTGATTGCTGGTGCTAGCTTGGCAGTGGTCTTGTTTATTCTGACGAACAGCGGGAACAAGGTGCTATTTCTGGACGGCACTCCGTATCCTGTTAGCTGGAAAATAACCGAATGGTGAAGCTGACACAAACATCTGTAACTCTTCCTCCCCACCAGCTTCTTTGCAGACGTATGACACGCTAATGGCACACACTGCTTCCTATATCCTCAGCCTTTTGTCATGGGAGCATCTTAACGGATTTTGGTTGCTGACTTCAAGAGTGTTTCCCAGTCTTACATTTGAATTTACAAGTAGGACTCCCTTACTACGTTCCTAGCTAGAGCAGGCAAATGCCGTTATTCATGCTAAAGCGAAACCCAAATAGAGGCAAATGTAGAAATACTTTGTCTTGTAAGGCACCAGAGAAGTTAGATTTTCACTGTTCTCACATATTCAGCAAAGCACCAGATCAATGTAAGTTCTAAGAGAAAATCTAAAAAACACACACAATTTTAGATTAGTGAATAACAAAATGAAAATCCCAGGAGAATTTAGCAGAAAGAGCTTTGTTTATCTTTTAAGAGTATGGTGGGTGGTCAAAAAGGGTTTTTTTTAATGTACACACTTAAAATTTATTACTGTACACTCATTTCTTTTGTCATAGCAAAATGTTAACAAATAAATATGGAAAGACAATGTTTATGCGTAAGTCTAAAATAATCATTGAAAATAATTCAAACAACAAACGATGAATCCTGCAGCTTAATGAAGAATGGATTAAAAAATAATAAATCTCAAAATACAACGAATTGTTATAACTTTCAGTATTAAAAATAATGTAAAAAAGCAGTAGAAATGTTTTGAAATATTGGATCTGTTAATTTATAACAGAAAACCTATTATCGCCCATGCAGAGTCTGAAATGTCATGTATAAAAAACATATCTAGTAAACAAGGCATTGCTTACTTTCTGATTTTGAAAAAAAAAAAAAAAAAAAAGAGAGAGAAAGAAAATCACATTCATTGTGAAGTCTTCCTAAAATGCAAAAGTCCTTCCCATCTTACCTGTATCTGAGTGATATTTCCGTCAAGCTCTGTAGGTGCCTGGAGCTTCCAGCCGTCCCTGCCGTCCAGCGTCGCGGCGCTCCGGCCGGGCGCTGTCGCTCTCTTCCACATCGCGACGCGCCCTTTGCTGGTGCCAGCTGCCAGAAGCCCTGTCAGTCACAAACCTTTTAGAGACCTCACTTCAACAGGAAAAACAAACCAACATTAAACAAAGGAGCAAGCAGCCAAATACTGGTTTTGAGGTCTCGAGAAGTCTTCTAGGAGTTTTCCCTTCTTTGTCTCGCCCACAAGCCTGAACTCTTCTGGGAAGACAACGGGAGAAGTTTCATGGAGCGAGAGCCATTTTCTAAACTACCAGGTGACGTTCTCAGTTAATCATGTCAATGATTTCATACCCACCGTTTATTTTTCAATAGTTCCATCTGGAGTATAAGTCAATATTGAAATCAATTCTAGCAGCCCCTGGCCATGTCTAGGCCAGCACCCAGGAGTGATGTAGAGAGGAACAGGCTGTGTTAAGGACCCAGGGCACATCTGGAGAGCTCTGCTTTGGATTAGCTCTAGTGTGGCCTTGTAGGCTGAAAGGCCCTTGCTGGGTGGAGTGCTAGGTGCACTCCTGGAGCACGTCCTCCTCTTCAGTGCCAAAGGGAATCCAGTTTGTGCTCTTTGAATGATCTCCAAGGTCACTCCACACCACGAATCAACATGTGCAAGTGTTGAATTCTCTCACTGCCTCATCAAAAGGGACATAACTGATCTGAACTACAACTCAACCAAAACATTTCCAGCAGCTAGATAAATACTTAAAATGGCTACGGGGCACTAAAGATCGATACTTTGACAAGGTTTAGGAACCAGAGACTGCAGATTCTCACCTTTAGCACTGCAGTAAGAAACACAGTTAATGCATTCTCCTGCCTCAAAGCCAAATTGCACATCTGGGACGAGCACATAGTTCTCACCTCGCTCCAAATCCCAGAACCTAAAGAACAGAAAACAAGAGAGTTTTAACAATGCTTTTCCTTCCAGGTGGCTCGCTAAACACAGTCAATAGGATGCTATACGTGGCATTAATTTGCTGCTTCCAGAATGCCCAAATCATCTAATTTTTAAAATGAAATTGTCAGCAACTTCCTCTGGAATGTGAATTTCTTAACAATCTCCTTCCTCTTCCTTTGGTTCCTTACTCTGCTACACGTATTGTGATACTCTTCTACGCAGGAAGAAGTCAGAAACAAACTCAGTGTTTGTTGGTGCTTAAAAAAAATAATGAGTTATAACTTTTTTTTCCTACTTATGTTTCCTCATTTTTAATGGATAATACCTGTCTGATTTACTCCTAGTAGCCCTCTGGATTCCAAATGCATTTTGGTGAATCTTGTTAATCAAATGTGTTCCTTGTCAATAATTGGTCTTTGTCACCTTCTCAAAAAAACAACCAGAGGATTCAGTGTGATAACAAGAGAGAAAGGCTCAAAGAAGTGAGCCACTGATGTTAGCTGACAGTCTCTGGAGTTGTCTCTCCCACCAAAATGTTAGGGGAAAGACATGTGCTCGTAGCACTATTAAACTAAAAGATTTTGCACATAGTTTAAAAAAAAAGGAAAAAGATAAAGCCTACAGAACACTGCAGGCAACAAAGTGACATATTTAAGGAATTAGGGATAAAAATAACCAAAATACTTATATTGCATGTGTTAGAGAGACATCTTGACAAGCAGAGCACATTTCTCCTGTGGTTGATGCTCTGACTGTGGTAAGTCTCAGAGAGAAAGAGTAGAAAGAGCAAGGAAGTGACTATCTTTTCAATGCACAAAATCAGATCTATTTTCAGAAAGAAATGCACTCAGAAAGGAACAAGTTTGGGTAGCATTGGCAGGTAAAAATATCTTGAGGGAAGGGGAAAAAAAGAGCTTTTCCTCAAGAAAATAAAGAGAATTTAAAAATCTATTTTGAGAAACAGAAAGAGAAAATAATGTATACTACATGCTCAGGAAAAACTTTAGTCCACTGCAGACTATAATTCTTTCAGCTGGCATCCCTCTTGGAAAAGAAGAGTAGCTTTAAAACAAGATTCGTACCTGAGGACTGTCTCACCTACTGCTGTAACAATAAGACACTGGTCTATTAAAATGATGTCTGCAGAATGGCCCATCTTGCCACTCAACTTCACCTGTTAACCAAAAAAAAAAAAAATCAGAACATTGATCCATATTGACAGATTATAGGTATCTGAATTGCCTAGTGAGGCTGCAAAGTTAAAATATAAGAATTACTAGATAGTTCAGACAGACCAACAGTTTCCCTCAGACAACCACCACCACTAAATGAGTTAGGTATATCACATATAAAAGCAATAGAAGGAATGTTAGCAAGCAACTCTAAAAATATTACTCCAGGTCAAAAATAAGTACTGATAAATAAAAAGCAGATACTCCTGTAATACCCAAGTGTCCAGTCCTTTTTAAAAATTATTATTTTAGAAGAAAATCTAAGAAAAAGATAGTTGTTTTTTTCAAAGTCATGTTCTCCAACAGCACAGTGGGATTTTTGTTTTGTTTTTGTTTGTTTTTACACACTGGGCTAACGCTACTATGGTCCAGGGTGAAGTTTGTTTGCTGTTTCTCCCTTTACAGCCATTTTCGGTGTCACGACATAACTATTTGTGGCTTACTATTTTTTAAATGTTTCTAGCCCTTGCAGCTCTGAAGAACACTTCGATAAAGTGAAAAGAAAACCTCCTTTCACACTTGCAAAGACAATGTCACCAAGAGAGGTAGGGTAAGGCTGCCACTAACCTGAAAGAGAAGGCAGCTCCGAACTGAGTACAAATCTGAGTATATTATCAGCCACTTATCCATATCCACTTTGATAAAGATTTGGCTATAGTGAAATTATACAGAAATTTGAAGAGTATCAAGTTTCAATTATTCTCTAATTCACTAAGACTGGATAAATGAAGATTAAAAAGATTAATATAGCATCAAAAGGAAAACAGCTAAAAAAAAATAGGAAGGCAAGATGAAAAGCATCTTTCCAAGTTCAGGAATATACTTTTTTATTCCATGTTTAAATGATCTCATATTTGCTTACCCAAGGTATTATCTGAGATGGAAAAATAGGAGTCAATTCCTTCGTGAGCAAAAAAAAGTGACAAAAAGACACTAACACATAGTTATAAAGACAAAATATTTCTACGTTACCTTGCAGTCTGACTCTTACCCTCATGAGCTCTTCTGCCTCTCCCTCGGGAGTAATTGTATGCAAGGACAACAGCAGGTTCTCTGTTATTATCACTAAAACATCTCTTTTCTCCATGAACAGAAGCTTTTGGATAGGACTGTCTATGGACAACATATCACTTGTCTTCCCTTTCTCATTCACATAATGCACAGACCCTGTCATACACAAAGCAGTTGAAAGAAAATGTGAGGACTCTTGCAGGACAACGTGTCTGTCCCTAGATGGTGCTGGACATCACCAGAAAACTGTTCTCAAAAATCACTGTAACACACAGCTAAGCAAAGACTCCTTGATGGACATTTTGTTTCAGCAATTAATGTAAAGCTGTATTGGTGTTAGCTACGGGTGTCATTCTTGCTAATGGAAACACTGAATTATGCTATAATTGTGTTGTGGAACGAGCATAACTTAAATGGATTTTAAGAGCTGCTAATACTTGGTTTGAGAGGACTGCACAGTTAAATTACCTCCAGAACCACGCTCAGTAGGCTGGTCACACTTGCCAGCTAACAGGTTAGGAGACAAAAGGCAACACCAGAAAAACTAGCGAGGAGGCACATGCCAGAGAAAGAAAAAATTTTTGGAAGAAGGCTACAGAAAACACATATATTATTTTCAATCTGTATAAAATAGGGCAATTTCTACTCCATTTACTTTTGGGCGTTAGAATGTGCTTCTCCATCTGGAGAGAGGCACATGTTAAGCAGTAACTAGTCACAGCTCTTTTAAAGTCTGTGTTTCTTCAGAGCTCGAAGATGTTTCACTTGTCAGAAATGCCAGAACAAGGACTACTGTCTCCTTTCACAAATAGCTATTGCACTTCCAAAAGAAAACAGGCCTCACTTGCATCAACAGGACAGAGTATCCACTAATCTCTCAATGTGGGTGGGAACCTGGCTAATGCAATATCCATAGAGTTCTTTCTGCACTGCTTCACCCTGATATGTGAGCACTTTCATTGTTTTATACATTTTTTCTTATTAGACACTCTCCAATATCTATGAATACTATATCCTGTTGAATCTATGAAAACAGGATTACCTTGCAATTAAGTGTTTTGAAGCACTAAGGAGACAGATTTTCAGCAGACTGGAAACATGTTTTCAGTTCTTACCATCTGTCAAAGTGATAAAGAAGGACAGTCCTTCCTGTGGACCCATTTTCAAAGGTGGCCCTGTTCCAGCTTTTCTCCAGTTAAACATATCCAAAGCCTTCTCATCGCCACTCACCGCTGCTTTGGCCAGTTGCACAAAGTCCCTGCAAACAAGCAGGGACAACAAGAAAGTCTATCTGGGAAAAGGGGTGTCCTTCTGTGTAAGGAGAGAAGGACCCGGCCCGCCAGGGCTCCCCAAGGGGCAGCATACTTACTCGCCAGGAGCAGGTGGCCGAAAGATACAGTGAGAAATGTGTTTGCCATAATCGTGTTTCAGCAGCGGAGGACCCTGCACTCGACCTCGCTGGTCCATTCTCCACAGAACCAAGACCCCATGCTAGAAAGAGCAAATAGTTAATTCATTACACGTTCCACACAGACGAAAATACAAACTCAAACTAAGAACACACGTGTTAATTCATTACACGTTCCACACAAAAAATACAAACTCAAACTAAGAACACACAAAAGGATCAACTCAGTAAATATTATTTTATTGACTGAGCGATACCTGTCATACTTTTATTTAGATGAAAAATGACATTGCTCCTGCCTAAAATCAAAACACAAGGAGTAAGAATACTTTTATATCACATACATATTTAAAATCGAGTTGTCTAAAAAGACTTGTTGGTCATACCTATTCCTAGTAAAATGATACTTCTAGAGAAATTGAAACAGCCTTATTTTTCTCTGCAAGGATGCATACACAGATATTCATTTAGATAACTGTCTTTGCTGTTTTCTTGCAAGTAGTCATCTTGCTAAAAGAAAAAGCATTAAGCTATAGGATAGTAAATGAAATGATATGCATGTCTCAATAAGTGCATGTAACACTAACGTGTGAGCTCCCACAGTGACGACCACCTGCCTAGGAAGAGACTTCAGAAATTCTGCAGCTTCTCCTTTCTTCCGTACAGTAGACATTAAACCACAATAAGAATCCATTAAATCAAAAAAATCACAGCTGAAAAAAATGTAGAAGCCGAAGAAAGGAAAGTCTGGTTAGCTAATTAATTCAATGGGCGTCAATAAAAATTGAGTCCTGGTATTTTCCTGATATTCCTAATTATATGTATGATTATTCCTGATATAATATTCCTGATATAATTGATTTCCTGATATTTTCTGAGGAATGTAACTGTAATATTATGAAACGTTATATTCTTAAACTGCCATTTTGCTGCCAGTTTTGTACACCAACTAGGGATGTACACCCTGGCCTGGAGCCAAAACACAAGCAGATACACAAGTGAAAGAGCAGCCACGGGGCAAATATCAGAGCCTGGCACAGGTTCTGAGGCTAAGGGGCATTTTGCTGCGCCAGCTCAGGCCAAGGATGAATTTCAAAGCCCTGCTGACTGCAGAGAAGTGAAAAGACAGTGCAGCAAGACACACACAGTAACAGGGCCAACTGACTTACACTACAGCTTCACAGCTGGAATTTTAAGACTTACTATTTATTAGTGTCATTATGCTAATGACAAGGAACCAAATTGCATCTGGAGGCCTCCTGTGCAAGCACTGCATGAAAAAGTCAATTTGTTGTCTAAAGTTTAATCTCATTTTGTTTCATTGAGACAAATTACAATTAAGAATGTATTACAGTTTTCTCTATTTCTCTTTGCTGTTTTTAATGGACTACTATAGAAATGAAAGACCAGTAACAGCAGGATATAGTACCTGCTTACACCTCACAGTTCTAACTCGAACCCACAGAGGATGCAGCTGAGACCTTCCGAGGAAACATTTAGTTCCTTCCTCCTAAGTGCCAGGAATCAAAGTTCTAAATTCTTTTCAGCAGTAAGATGATAATATTTATACCATACAAAATTCTTGACCAAGTGTAATGCTGTCTCTTTCAGCTTAAAGTCTGCATCTGGGAAACTGCACTACCCAACTCCCAAGAGGCCACCAATGGGTCACACTGTCTCTGGAGAACACATGAAAGTACAAAAAGTTCATGTCTTATTGGTTGCTCTTCTAACATTTCCATCAGCTTTTCCTTTGACTCTTGTAGACAAAGATTCTGAAAGCAAAGAACCAAAATACTTGGACAAGCTTATGTTTGTATCAAGCAGATGATAACAAAAACAGATTTTTTATTTGCTGACTCAAGGACAAAACCAAAATACTCCACAATACTGAATACTAAATACTCAATAGCTAATTTCTCATTTCACTATCAAATGGCAACCAGCTCATTAAGAAATAGAGATGAACACATTTCAAAATGTTTTTTTCACAATGTATTTTCAACAAAATAGCTGCTGCTTATTTTTAAAGCATTAATGAAAATAATACAACCTACACTAACACAAGAGAGATTAACATGTTTTTAAGTATTTAAGTGATGGCAACTATGCACATGCAATGGATAATACACTGCGCAGCTCTCTTATGGAACTTTGAGTCCAGGCATTTTGGCTTGATTCTTGAGTCTGCCAAAATAATCCTTTATAGACAGGAACAATTAAAAAAATAAAACTTTCTGTGCCTCTGTTATTCCATCCATTAATTTGTATCTAAAACAATAAAATTGAACTTTTCTCCCAAAACTAGTAGCCCACTAGTAGTCCATTCCACAAACCTCTTCTGTCAGCGGGGTTTGCAATGTTGTACCCCGCACCAAAACCACTTTGGGTATTTCACCACTTACCCTATCACCAGACACAAGACGGGTACCATTTGTACTCCAGTTCAGGACTGTAATTTCAGCACTGTGCGTGGGAGGGACAACGTGCTGCTCCCTGTCCTGTTTGTTGAGTACCACAACCTCGCCAGTCTCCCAGCCTGCTGCCAAAACCAGCCGGGAGGGCTGCCAGGAGAGGGCCGTGACCCGAAAGCTTCTCTCCACATGCGCCTCAGCCACGTGTTCTCCCTGCAAACAGATGAGCGCAGGGTCGGTACAACGGGAGCTCGGCGCCGCGGTGCAGCTACGCCTTCACACTTGCTCCCCAACCAACCATGTGTTTTTCTGTCTTATAGAATACAGACACATAACAGAGCATCCTGCAAAACCTAAGAGATGGCTACACAAATTTCGTTTATGCCTCTTCTACCTGCATAAAAAGGCACTACGATAGGCAGCACATCCACTTGAAAACTGCTAATGAAAACATGGTGATATTAAAAGCGGTTGCTTCACTCTGCCCTTCCAGGCTATTTCTCCCTCAAAGCATTTATGAGCAGCTCTTTCAATCCTGCATTCTGTTCCTGTAGGAAGGACAAGAAGGTTTCTGCTAGATTTGAAGCTAGAAGACAACTCTTTGAAGAACAATACAGCAGCTTCACTGAGGATACAGAATACTCTAGTGTTAAAAGGCCTGTCTGCAGGCAGCAACTGCATTAGGAAACATCTCCCCAAAATACATTTTATTTACTTAGTGTTTCTAAAAAAGAAGGCGTCCATTTTACTTTTAAACCCGAATTCCCCTATCACAAGGATCAAGTGTCTTAAGTTTTAAAGGCAAATTGGTTGCCAGCAGGAAAAAAAAAGACCCAAGAACCATAAAAAATAAATTTCAGTGGAAAGATAAATATAATCAATGAAGAACTTGTTATGAAATGCCTGTAACTGATGACTCTGACTTGTCCTAAATTGCATGAGACATGAATAGTAATTAAAATTGAGAGCGGAGGATTGAAGGAGCACAAGTAAGGGTACAAATGTATGTAAAACAAAAGCAGCCAAATGACAGCACATCCAAAGTTAGTGACTGCTTATACCTGTTCCAGATAGACATCCACGCAGCCCCCGGATGCTGTGCTGATGGAAGCGACTGCCAGGAGCGGGTGAAGCGGGTGCCACGATATGTGAGAGGGGGAGGCAACTGAGTCAGGAGCTTCTATTCGACGATCCACATATACGGCCATAGCAAACTATTACACACTGCAAACCTGTCCAAAACAAACATTTATAACATGTAACGATATGCAAAGAAATTGGAGAAAAAAATAAGCATCTAAAGCAATATGCCTTACAGCCCATAGGTTCATGCTTCACTTATCTTTGTGCCCCGATCAAGAACCTGCAGATGTACATGCAGAAGTTCAATTAGCCTTGAACACGGGTAGTTCGGTATCTTGCCTCTAATATTAATTCAAATATTAGTAATACTGTGTTGTGGAAAGAAGTTATTCCACATTTAAACAAATGTTATATTGTCTCTGAACTTTAAGTAATAGAGAAATCCATTTTAGGTTCAAATAAAAATCTGTGATGCCTAAATAAAATATGCTTGGTATGAAATAAAGACTGTATCCATCATACCAATCCACACCACTGTGATTTGTTTTCTAAAGCCACATACTTTTTCTCTTAAGTGTTCATTGCATCTGCAGTCAGAAATATATTAAGTCCCTTCAATTTTACATACATATTAATTCCCTAAAGGAGGAGGTTCAATTAGTTTTAGAAGTCATGTCTCTTGATCAGGTCAAGTCAAGCCATTTGTCTGCTTGACTACGTGAGTGTCAACTTGTTACAGATAAGACCTCTATATCCTTTTTAGCTTGAATGCAGAGCAAGAACAATTTTCCAGCCAAAAATGTGTATTTCCAGAAAGGCAGACTAGCACTTACTGAAGCAAGAGCTGGGGATATTGTTATGCAAATTACAGACAACCCCCAATAACACTTTTCCCCACCTCAACAACTTTGCAAAATGGTCTAAGAGATTGCTGTATGTAAATAAATAGTTTATATAACTAGATTTCTCATGACACAAAATGACTTAAAATCATTGTTTTGTATGTAGCATTCAGTATATTGGCAATTTATTATCCACATATTTACTGTTACTTGAAGAGCTTGTGCATTTACACTCACACTGGCTGCCAGATACCTCTCCAAAAAATGCCTTCATAAGGAAAAAAGTATCAACACAGCACAAGGGAAACCAAAGCTCGTTGCTGAGCTCAACAAACTGGATTTAGGTAAGTACCCGTAAGAGTTTCTTTGAGAGCGGTGAGCCAGAATTAAAGTATTTCAAAGGGTAATGATTCACATTCAGAAAAAAAAAAAGAATACATATTTATGCTATTCTGTATTTGCTATAAAAGTTATTTATGTGCCCCATGTGATAAAGGTTATTGGTGCATTTAGAATCTAGGACAGCTGACCCAGATTACGTTTAAAACCATTGAAGAGTAGCAACAGCCCACAAGTCTACCAGAAAAGCATCATCAAACGCCCTGATGAAAATTGTTTTTATATACGTGTGTGCTAGGATGTTTTCCTGACTGATTTTTCAATATAAAACCACGGCTTTTGGTTTAATTACCCTTACCTATAAGGTAAAATAAACAGACAAAATCAAGTTATGCTATAAAAGCATGGTAAATGACTAATACTCTTTTCTGTAAGTAGTAAAAATCTAATTCAACTCTGAATCAACAAGGAGAGGGACGGAATGAGAGAACCACGTGCGGGCCCCAGCCCAGCCCGTTTCTAAGGTGTCTTCCTTGCGTGCAGGACAGAGTTGAGTCCATGCCGTTCGCCGGGGGCAACGTTATGGCCGAGGGCCGGCGAGCAAAGGGCCTCGCGAGCCCCCCAAGGCCCGGGGGGGAAGCCCGAACGGGAGCCGAAGGGCCGCGGAAAGTACCGAAGTGGCGCGCGCCTGCCCGTTGCGGTGGCAGAGAGAGACGGAAAGAGACGGAAAGCGCCGAGCGCTCCGCCCGCGCGCGGCGGGCTCGTGCTCACAGCAGAAGCTTCAGGCAGGCACCGAGCTCGTGTCCCCTCTAGGGGCTGGAGCGAAGACCCGGGTTCAGAAAACATTAACTCTCACAGGGCCGAGTCGCCTTATTTTTAGTACACGTCAGTGTGCACGCTGTCCTAAATGTTATACAGAAAGTTTTGCCTCCTACCTAAACTGCTCATTCCTGGTTGTTCCCTTGAGGGAAAACACACCATGATTTTTCTTTTTCTTTTTTTACCTAAGAAGTTTGTTTTCATCAGAGAAGTAGTTTAATGTTATTAGTGTAACGGCCATGCACATTAGGTACAAAATTAAAGGCTCAACAGAATACACTTCGCCACATAAACTTCGTCCTTCTGTTAGGCAAACCATGCAGGAGAGGAATACTATTCATTTCTATCAAGCATGTGGTTGCTGATGCCTCGAAACACACAGGATGAGCAGCAAACCCAACCTAACATTGGCCTAGTCTAGAAAATCTTAGAAAATAATGTTTACTGTTATCTGTGACACTCTTCCAGCCATCACGGTAAGAAGACATTCATGTGTCTTTGAATATCAGAAACTGACTCCTGCCTCTTCGTTTCGAAGCTTCTTCCCCTCTTCTCTCACAGACATTCACACACAGGAGCAGTTTCGCACCTTAACAGCCCGCTGGAGGCTGTTCACACACACACACACACAGTTATTTACATGCACGGAGAACAGTCCCTGAGCTCCTCAGGGAACCGAACGTATCTTCACATCCGCTTGCAAATCACCATGGAAATACATGGCGCTGCACACGCCAGATGTACCATTTCCTGCCAGTCTTGTTCAAGCGGGTTGAGGTCATGCTGATTTGCAAAACTACTCAGTTTAAGCTACAAGATCTGAGGCTACACCATAACAAGATGGGGAAACACACTTTACAGGAAGCAAACCTAATGAAGGGATGCACTTTAAATTTAAAGCTAGACAGCAGACCACATTAGGAGCTGAGATCAATAGGCAATTTAGTTCCTTTTAATCTACAAATTCTATTTAGAGTAATAAACCTGGTTAATCACAACCATGCAGAACTGCATATTATGGTAAGAATATTTCCAAGGAGATTATGTGCTCTAGGCAAGTTCAAGTAAATTGAGCTCAGCATAAGATGACTCTGAGAGACCCCCTTGAGAGTCTACATGTGACTGCGAAGTTTTTGAATCATTAATCTGTTGCTTTTTAGTTTACAAAGATTTTTTTTCTCAAGGGAAGATTAAAATATCCTGGGATTTCCCTTAAGCATTAAAAAGAGACCTCATATTCCCCACTAAAAAAAAAAAAAAAAAAAAAAAAAACTCACACAGCACCAGCTGCAAGATTCATGGGAATCATTTTGCTGGCAGTTAACAAGAAATCACTACACAAACACCAGGCACCCATTGCTGGAGAAAGAGCCTAAGGGTCTGGCTAGCAAGTGAAATTCAAACCCCTTCAACATAATTCTGCACCTGAGTAGAACTTCTTAATCCTGCAAAATAGTGCAAGTAACATGCCATTTTGGAAGACCTACACTATTTATATAGAGAGTTTAACAGAACAAGAGCATTTAATTAACAGCAAATACACAATTGGGAAAAGATGCTCTTCAGCAGCCCTTCTGCTCAAGGCCCTCTACGCCCAGAACCTTCTGGAAACCCAGGCTGCCATTTCCTGACAGCGTCAGTAGCTAGGCAGCCCCCAGGGCACAAAGCGCTACCCGACAGCCTGTATGTCTGAAAAAACTCAGGGGAAACAAAAGGCAGCAAGCATTAGCAGGTCCCTTAGTCAATGCCACACAGGTATTAACTGCAAACACTGAGACAGACACTGAGAAGACTTCTTATACCAGAGTTTGAGCTCTCATAGCTAAATGGGACTCCTCCTCCTCATCCAGTCAGGCTACGCAGCTTTGAGGTGCCAGAACCCCAGTCTTTTAGTCAAACTTACACCTAGGGTCTGGCCCATGAAACTGTAGGCAATTAGAGGGGAAAGCAGCCCCGACACCGTCGCCCCCTCCCTGAGAGTGTGGGAGGCAAGAGGGACACAGGTCCCAGAGCCGCCCCCGCACCAGCCGCCTGCGCCTCCCTTCCTCCCCCGCAGGCAGCCACCACTGAGTGAGCACACCACGCAAAGGGACATATAAATACAGCACCGCATGCAAATGAACACCTCTTGACCAATGAGAGCCTGGAGCAGGGCCACGAGCCCCGCCCACACGGTGCTCCATTGGCTCTTCCCTTGCGCCAATCAGCAGCGAGTGCTCACGTTTCGTCTTGCTCCTCCCCTCCGTCCCCCCGACGGGCGCGCGGCTGCCTCCTCTTCCTCTGCGTCACGCTGGCGTCACCCTCCGCGCGCCGCACGGGG